TATATCAATTGATCCGCCTAATATTTTGATTGCTTATATCAAACTCTTTAAGTTTTAATGATTGTTCGACCAAAAAACAACGTGATCCACCAATTTAAATTAATTGATCCGCCTAATATTTTGATTGCTTATATCAAACTCTTTAAGTTTTAATGATTGTTCTACCAAAAAACAACGTGATCCGCCAATTTATATCCAGTGATCCGCCAAACTTCATATAGTGATCTGTCTTATAATTTGATCGAGTAAATGAACCTTTTTAAATTTTAATGATTGTTCTACCAAAAAACAACGTTATCCGTTAATTTATATCAAGTGATCTGCCAACTTTTATATAGTGATCAGCCTAATAATTTGTTTGCTTATGTTAAATTTTAATGATTGTTATACCAAAATATAAGGTGATCCGCCAATTTATTTTAAGTGATTCGCCAAACTTTATGAAGTGATCCGCCTAATACTTTGATTGAATAAATCAAACTCTATACTTTTTAATGATTGTTATACCAAAAAGCGTGATCTGCCTAATTTATATTAGGTGATCCTACTTTTGTGATTTAATGCAGATTCAATGTTTATTGTTCAAAAACTTGAATTACAATTTTTTGTCTAAATTAATATACAAATGTGCTACCTAGAGTGTCGAGCTTTAAAGATACCGAGTATTTAAAACAAAAGATAAGAAATTTTTATAACATTATAATCATGTTTAGCAAAAAATATTATTTCTAGCACCGAAAACGCTATGTATTAAAACCAAATAGAAATAACATAAGTTACCTTTTATAAATATTACCCGTAAACAAAATTATTGTATCCTAATTGTTTTGAATTAGATTTCATGTCACAAACTGATAGAATATGATCAATAAAGTAAATTTCGAATCCTGATAATTTACTTAATTTAAACCATATTTCATCAGCAGGCTAACTAAACCAAAGTAATGATACAACGTAGAAGAACGCGGTTGAACTAAAAAAATAAAAAAATAATATTATAAAAAGTAGATATGTAAAATAGATACATGACATTATAAAAAATATTTCTACTATTTACGGATGATTAAAGCAAAACTAAATAACTGAATATATATATATATATATATATATATATATATATATATATATATATATATATATATATATATATATATATATATATATATATATACTTTATAAAATAGACAAAACAAAAAATGAGCAAGCAAAAAGTAATAAATAAAAACAATAAAAAAGGAATAGTAAGATTGAGAAAGAAAGACTAATAATATTGGAAAGGATATGAATAGAAGACATAAAGGAGAATAAATGAATGATATAACATAAGTTAAATGAGATATGTCAAGAAAAAAAAAATCAATTTGCTTGATAAATAGTGACATATGTAATAAGGAACAAAGACCCAAATACCAACGAATATTACACAAGTAATTAGCAGGATACAATGGAATATTACATAGTCAAGTATAACATAAGAAAAGTTACATGACAATATATATATATATATATATATATATATATATATATATATATATATATATATATATATATATATATATATATATATATATATATATATATATATATATATATATATATATATATTTAAGGAATTATTAGGCATTATATGGCAGTAAGGCTATTGACATATCAAAGGCTTTCAATAAAGAATTGCATGCTTCTTGATAGAATTTCTTCATATGTTACTTTTGAGAAAGTTTTTTAAATAGTTGAAAAATGTGAACTTCAAGTTGTCCTCGAAGGTTAACAGATCTTACTTTTTTCTAAAAACCTCGTGTGTTCCACAACCTTTTATGGTCCAGCATTATTTCTTTTTCATCTATATTAATGATCTTCTGGACAATAAAAATAATCTTAAGTAGCTATATTTGCTTATGATCTTGCCTTTCAGCAATGTCGCATCCTTTCACATTCATTATCATATATAACTGAAACGCTGTACTAACTCTAAATACTGTTTTAACTCTAAACACTGATTCCTAATCTGATTCTTAAACTCTTAATCCAAACATTATTTTTACTCTAAATATTATTAAAACTCTAAACAATGATCAAACTCTAAACAATGTCCAAAATCTAAACACTATTCAATCTCTAAACACTATTATAACACTTTACATTATTCAAACTCTGATAACTGTACTAAATCTTAAAACTATACCAACTCTAAATACATTTCTAACTCTAAACATTATTCGTACTCTAAACACTGTTTTAACTCTAAACACAGTTATGACTCTAAATTTTATTCAAACCCTCAACACTGTTTAACTGTAAACACTATGATAATTTTAAACATTATTTAAGCTCTATATACTGCTTTAACTCTCAACACTGCTATAACTCTAAACACTTTTTTTAACTCTAAACACTGTTTCAACTCTAAACACTGTTCTATCTCTAAACTCAGTTATAACTCTAAACATTATTCAAACCTTAAACACTGTTATAAATCTAAACACTGTTCTGACTTAATGCCGAAGTGGTGTAGTGATAGAGTGCTTTCTTCATAAGCGAGAGGTTCTGAGTTCGATTCCAACTACATCCCTAGTAGTACCGCGCTTAACATGTTTCTCCGCGCAGCGGCCTTGTTTGTCAAGGTTTGTGTTTCAAAGTTATAAAGTTGAGAGGGTTTGAACTACAATTAAGTAGCCTCCTCATTTGTAGCGGCCTTCTCGGCCTTGGGGAGGTGAATCACTAAAAAAAAACTCTAAACACTATGCTAACGCTAACCATTATTTGAACTCGAAATACTGTTGTAACTATCAACACTGCTATAATTCTAAATAATTTTTAAACTCTAAACAATGGTTAAACTCAAAACACTGGTTAAACTCAAAACAGTGGTTAAACTCAAAACACTGGTTAAACTCATAACACTGGTTAAACTCAAAACACTGGTTAAACTCATAACACTGTTATAACTCTAAATAATATTTTAACTCATCTGGTCATACTAGTAAAAGTTTCATCTACTTATTTTAATATATTAAAATTTACATTAATAAATATCTTGAAGAACAGCTGAAAGAATCTAAAAACGTTTTCTACAAACATTTAATGCATTTGTAAACCTTCCGCAGACTTGCCTTGTACTCTGTAAACATTAATTCAGATAGACCTACACAAGAAGAATGAAACCATTCATTACAATTCAAACACTGGATCATTGAGTCTGTTGATTTAAAAATACTACGACACACACAATACAAAGAATATTTTGAGGTACGAACTACATTTTTTCTAACAGTTCTATAACTACCAACAGGGAACTGGGTTATTTTGTAATTTTCAAGACATGTCAGCAAATGTTGGCGCATCAAGTCCTCCCTATATTTAAAGTTACAAGGATCTTTTCCTAAACACAGAGTAACACAATTTGCTATAGCATAAAAGCCACACAAAAGATCTTTCTGACGGGCTACATTGTTTATGTTAAGCTCTATTTCAACAGACTGTAGGCAAGCAAATTTAGAAATTGAGTAAATGCAGTCTGTACTCGGAAAAAGTTGCAGACTACAATAAATATTTATTTGACTATCTTTACAATGGTGGTTAGAGGCAGTTACCCAATGTCCTTTTGTCGAATCATTAAAAATTTGAACAAAGGCCCTGCTAGAAGCATTACATAGACCAGCAAAGCACAGAATCGGATCTTCAAGACCTTTAATATCTGGAAATTGGCGCTTACACAACAACATTGCAGCAAAAACAACTTTATCGTTGAGAAGCCCCATTGGATTTAAAATAAGGCTTCGATCATCATTGGTGAGGTTCAGATTTTCAAATTGAAGCCATGTCTGAACATCTGCAGTAGCCATTGAGTTTGTATCATTACAAATTAAAATAGGTGTCTCAAGTATAGTTGGTTTCATATATGATAAAAATGGAAAATTTGATAGAGAATCTTTAGACGCTGGTACACAGTTGTCATCAAATTTCACTCTCTTTTGCATCCTTTTTAATACACATATAATTGTAGAATAATAGTGGAAATGTAGATAACATTGTTTACACAATAATATAAGATAAAAAAAAAGGATAACACCTAACAATTTAAAAAGCAAACAAATAAAGTTATTTACATTTCATTTTGAGATAACAGAATCTCTGTATTTAAACTTGGTGCAGAGGAAAGGTTATCGTGCAAGGTATTAGACGCTGAGTCGACAATTTGATTTGTCTTCAAATTATTTAAATTTCTTATGTCAAGATTAAGAGCTGCATCTGGTGCAGGGATAAAACTTAAATCGCCTTTTCTTGGCACCTTACAACCTGATTTTTTATCACCCTTTTTACTAAAAATAATAACATTAAAAGTGACATTTCTAATGTAGATAAGATATTTCCCTATTGCATTTTCTTTTCTGAAACGCAATCCGGAAAACAAATTAATCTAATATTTTGAGAACTCAAGTCACCTCTTCCTCTTATATATCTATACAAACATATGTATATATATATGTATATATGTATATATGTATATATATGTATATATATGTATATGTATATATATATATATATATATATATATATATATATATATATATATATATATATATATATATATATATATATATATATATATATATGTTTGCATACATAAAAAAATTATTATACAATTATAAAGTTTAAAGATATATAGAACAAATTAAGTTTAAAGATATATAGAACAAATATGTTTTAAAAATAATATCCAAGCTCCAGGTTATAACCCCTAGTAACCTTATAGCTTTGCCAGGTTCACTAAACCTTCATAATTAGTTAAGTCATTGATTACTTATTTAATGAAGTTAGATATTAAGATAAATCACATTTGTTTGAATGTCATCAAGGATTAGAATTTATAATTGATTATATATATATTTAACTACAAACATTGCTCTTGGAAATGCTAAATATTAAATATTTAAATTTTTACCCCATTTGCCCAGACCTTATTTAGACTGTCTCATGTTTAATAATATTGTAGACTCTTCTCTTATTTTTCTAATTTTTTCCCTGTTTATTAGGATTATTCTTTTATTAGGCACCTCAGAGTAATTTAATTTACCGTGAGTTACGCCGCAATTTGGTCAAATTTATGATCTTTCGTTCACTACATTCAACTCCAATGCTGCGCTTAACAGCTAGTATGTGACAACACATTGTTGAAGAAGGACACGTGCAGTTTTCCTTAGGATACAGCTTCACAACATGCGCATTTCCATCAGGGGCAGAGACTGTAAAAACTTTAAGGCTTGGAACATGTACAACATTAAATGTGTTAGAAAGCACACATATTGACGGAGGTATGAATTGCTGTATTGGTATATTGGCAGCTGCTTGCAGCTCCGCAATAACAAGCTCTGGACTCTCTACTTTTGGTATGTCATCTGCATTTTCTAAAACATTATTTAAACTTTCAATTTAAAACATCATTACTAACTCATGAGTATATTGCATTTTTGTAAATACTTACTAAATAATTCTAAAATCAAACAAAAAAACAATTACAAATAAGATTTAAAAAGTTGTTATGTATTAAATGTGACATACTGATTAGGAGACTGCTGTCAACGAGAGTGTAGGGTCCAAAACCACTACAACTCCGCTTAATTTCTGTCAAATAGAAGGTCTGAAGGCGATGCATTGCAACAACCATCGAATCAACAGGCGCTTCTTTCCAATCCTGAAACTTTTTAATGACAGCATTTAGTGATTCTGATACATTATTTGTAATTATATTATCTGTTAAACCAACGAACCTGAGGTGACCAATATAAGATATTAAAATACGTGAGTGTAAGTGATCTGAAAAATAAATTGAGAATGCTTCGCTCCATGAAGGTCTCAATGTATCAATTTTTACTTTTAAACAAATTTCACTTTCACATATGAGAAGTTCCTGCATTTGAGATTTATAAACAGTTATTTCTGCATGACAAGCACTGTGTTTTTTTAACCAAATCTCAATATCAGACAAAATGTGATTGGAGCAAGATACCAGATTCCATTTTGGTAACACTTTTTATATTGCTTTGCCAATTCCACTCTCTCCGTCAGTCACAATCACAACCTGATTAAGAACTGGTAATTTTTTTTTAAAGATTTAAAGAAACTTTTATGCACACTATCAAACTTCCTGTCATGTAAAACAAATGCTACAGGCATGCAAGGCTTCTCAACAAAACAACTTAATTTAGCCACTAGAATTGATAAATAAAAATCACCTAAATTAAATGTTGTATCATATGAAAAAAAAATTTGAGAGCACATGACAAGTTGACTGATTAAATTTTGCATGCCAAACGAAACCAACAAATCAGGATAAGTGGATATGGACCACACAAAGCCTGGAATTATATATGCCAGTTCATGTAATGTTAAAAAAGGCTCAGTGCCTAGTTTCATACTAGCGGCTTTTACACTACGAACGTACTTAAACTGCCTTGAATTTCTTGGTTGAAATTGGACCTGGCTATCCTTGCAATCAAGAAGAAGGTCCTTGTAACTGTGGGAATCAGCAATTGCATCTAGCACAGATGAAGCTGTTGGTAAGAACTTGATTGGTTTTCTGGAATTACCTGAAATATACATACATAAACACAAACACATATATATATATATGTGTGTGTATACATTGGCGTATGAAGGTCATAAAAAATTAGGGAAGGGCGGGGCAAAACAAGGCAAAGTTTAGAATGGAAAAGAGAGGAGGCTAAACAACATGAATTTTAATTAAAAATATTATTATTTAAAATTTTCATTTAAAGTAGGTTTTATTAAGTAGTTAAATTATGTAAAACTTTTAAAATAAAAACAAAAATCATTATCAAAATGTAAGATATATTTACCATGAGGAACTAAAACTGCAAGGTTGTGGTTACCAATGTAATGGATAACAACAAGATCTGTCCGACTCAGATCACAGTACACAAACTTCTGGAAATCATTTGAAATTCCTGTTGATGTAACAGTAGCAAAATGGATCTTTGTGTAAATTGGCGAACCCCGAGGAATTTTACTGCAGTCATTTTGCTTCCACCTATACCCATCTGCCCGCCAATCGTCTAAAAATAATATTTATATACATATTTATATGTAAATAAGAGAGTGGGTTTAAGGCTACAGAAAACGTCATCAAAGCCACACTATATTAGAAGAAGTACCGTTTTTATATATATAAATATATACATATATATATGTATATATATATATATATATATATATATATATATATATATATATATATATATATATATATATATATATATATATACACAAATTTATATATATGTGTATATATATATATATATATATATATATATATATATATATATATATATATATATATATATATATATATATATATATATATATATATATATATATATATATATATATATATATATATATATATATATATATATATATATATATATATATATATAGTTCATCAATAGTTCGTTGTGGGCCATGCTCCCTAAATACGGAATCCAATTGAATTAATATACTTTTGGTATCTCGTGTAACATCTTTCTCCATACTGCAAATTGACTTGGTCCACAGTCAATCATTGTTAGGTACAGTGACCCTTTATAGTGAGTCACATCGCATGCAATAGGATACCATGTATCTAGTATATCTAGCACTCCAAGTTCCTATTTTATTGGCGCTGGATCAATTGGATTACATTGACAACATTTGAGCACACAGTCTTCAACGTCTTTTCTTGACACTCGCGGGATTCTTTGTTGTACTGTAAACATTGTTTGATTAACACCAAAATGATGCTTCAAGTGACATTTATGAACTTTATCGGCAATATATACCCCACATAATTCTATAACATTTTTTAGTGAAATTTCATTTAACCACTTTTGTTGAAACGTCAATACATCTGCTTTGTTTTTTTAGGACGGAACCCACTTCACCATGATGTTCCAACTGTATTCCTTTATTAATTTACGCAATAATGAAAGTCTTTGTTTGATTAGCATTTCTGATAGTCCATTTGACCAAACCCTATGACTTTCAGTTAACACACTTTTTAACCATCCATGAACAGTTACCGAGTCGGTAAATATCATTAAGTTCTTGATGTCCCACTTAACAGCTAGGATTATTCCACGCACCATAGTGTCTAATTTAGCCATATTAATATGCATGATGTCATTTATACTTTGTAGCCATGCTACATCCTCAGCTATTACACATAGATTATCCTGACCATATTTAAAAAATCCGGAAATTTTTTTTCCTTAATTAGCCGGAAAAAATCTGGAATTTACAAAAAGATGTTATCAAGGAGAGAGGCGTACTCTTCCACTCTTCTTCTCTATAATATTACGCCAGTTCAATAGTATCCTTATTCACTGTATCTATGAATAAAAAACTACATAAAATTTTCATCAAAAAAGAAATAATAATAATAAAATTTTAACAATAATAATAATAAGAAAAAGCCAAAGAAAAAGTAGAAGACTATATTTAAAAGCTGTTAAACAATGTGGAAACTTTTTTAGACATGCACTTATACATTTAAATACATAATGAATAATGAATTATTGCTTTAATTGACCAAAGATATACAAATAGATAAACATTTAACACGTTATTACAGATCAAAGGCGCCACCATAACTGAAATCCCATGGGCATTATTTATTTTAGCGTTTTGGTTTTTATGTAGTAATTTTACAAAATAAATCGACATTTATACGACACTTTTGCTTGCCAACTTCTTGGCACTAAATGTGCATAGCATGAGGGCAAAAACTGCACTCACGTTAAGCTACAAAGAAACATGAGAGCATTTGTCAAATCATATTTATTTTAAGATAAATGATTAAGCAAGCCAAAGTTGTATTAGTAGAATGATTAAGATTGAGATATTAATAAATTTAGATTGATAATATAGTTAGAACGATAACATATTAATAAATAATATATATTCAATAATATTTAAAATAATTTAAATAATAATATTGACAATATATTAAATAAGATTGATAATAAAGTTAAGTACTACCTTAATGTAAGTTTATTATCAACAATAAACACAAATTTTTTCTATCTAGGTAGTAATTACTCTGTGTTTATTGTTAAATTATTAATGCTATCGAACTTTATGTAGGCTAATTATATTAATTAACAATACCTTTAAAGTCCTCACTGATGTAAGTTCTATGTTATTTAGGTACAATAATTAAAGAAACAGCACTGCATTTTTAAATGAACTAAATTTTTCTTATGATTATATGTTGAAAAAGCTTCACATTTTAAAAAACTTTCATTGTGCTGCATTTGTCTATTGCTTGTTGGCTTACGTGTCTTAAAATTCAAATATAATGTTCTTGTTAGAGTAAACCAGTTGACTCTTAATTAAGCCTCTTTATAATTTTTTTTTTTCAAAAACCATATACAAAATAGTGAGCAGGTATGTTCACGTTAAAGTATTTATAGATAAGAGAAAGAGAGGCAACATTACGCGGATGTAACAATGGATAGAGGTTGGCTGCAAGAGCAGATCCAACTATGTTTAGAAGAGCAGAAAATGGAATGGGTTTAAACCATCTGATATTCTTAAATCAAAACCTGGAGATCATGAGATTTCTTGTGTTAGCTCAAGAAAGTTAGATGTATCGTTCAGCTCGGATAAATGTGACTCTGACGACTATTTTATACTTATTAACTTTTTATTGTTAAAGAAATTAATTGCACACACTGTTTGCCCCAATTGCTTTATTGGAAATTTGTTAATCAAAGATAACGTTAATTCTCGCATGGGCTTTTGTCATTTACTTGAGATGAAGTGTACAAAGTGTAACTTTTCTAAAAATTTTAGAACTTCACCAAAGTCAAAGAATTCTTTAAACACAAATGAGTTTCCTATTGATACTGTATTTCCTATTTATAAAAAAAAACTTTTATCTCTAGAATCACCATATGAGATCAACCTGCGAGCTCTCATCGGATTGCGAGAAATAGGTGCTGGCCATGAGTCGATGAAAACTTTTTCCTTCTGTATGAATCTTTATTGTTTGTCGCCTAATGGCTTTAATAAGTTAAATAAAACTGCCATGTTAGTATACAAAATTGCTGCTGAGGAAAGTATGCAAAAAGCTGCTTTTGAAACCAAATCAATAAACAACTCTCTTGAAATGAAAGAAGTTAGAATTTCTATTGATGGTTCATGGCAAAAGCGAGGTCATAATTCGTTGAATGGTGTTGTAACTGCTGTTTGTAGTGATAAATGTATTGATGCAGAGATATTTACCAAACATTGCAATGGATGTAAAATGTGGAGATCTAAAAAAGGAACTCCAGAGTATCAGTGTTGGTTGGTTGATCACCAGTGTGAATCGAATCACAAGGGTTCATCGGGTAGTATGGAATCTGTAGGAGCTGTGGCTATGTTTAAGAGATCTTTACAAAAAAATAAGTTGATATATAAAGAATATCTAGGAGATGGGGGTACATCTTCTTTTAATGATGTAATAGAAGCAGATCCTTACAAAGAGTATGATATTATGCCTGTAAAACTGGAATGTGTTGGACATGTTCAAAAACGGTTAGGAACACGTCTACAAAACCTTGTCAAAGCCCAAAAAGGTACTAAAAAACCAATATCAGGCAGAGGTAAACTCACTGAAAACTGCATTAATTCAATGCAAAATTTCTATGGTCTTGTAATCAGATCTAATGTGGGAAACTTGTACTCAATGAAAAAAGCAGTTTATGCCATACTTTTCCATTTCACCAATATTCCTGATTCCTACACACGCCACCAGTTTTGTCCTCGTGGAAAATACAGTTGGTGCAAATACTGGGCTCTAAATCAAAACAATTATAAACCCAAATCTACCATACCTCTGTGGATAAAAGATTTAATTCTACCAATAATTATAAATTTACAATCAGATGAATTGTTATCAAAATGTTTACATGGAAACACACAAAATGCTAACGAGGCACTTAATGGACTTATTTGGGCTCGTGTACCAAAAAGAGTTTTTGTTTCTAAATCAACACTGGAAATGGGAACGAATTCAGCTATTTTAGCATACAATGATGGTGCAAAGGGTGTTATTAGTGTTTTTAGACATTTTGGTTTACATGGTAAGGTATCAAATATTTCAGCGACTTCTAAAAATAAAAAAAGGATTAGTCAAATGAGGTGCAAGTCATCAGAGAAGGGAAAAAAAAGAAGAAAAACTCTTAGAGCCATTAAAAAAGGTCACCTAGATGAGGAGAAAGCAAAAGAATGTAATGACAGTTATGTTTCAGGAGGATTTTAAATTAATATTGTAAATATTATATCAAGAATTTTTTAATGCTGTTTATCTCAGTTCGCGTTTTTTTATTTTTGCTTAAACTTCAAAACACAGTTTCTTGAGTTAGCATTGTTCATTTGATCTGAAATTTTCAGTACTTGCTCGAAATACCTATAAAATTCATTTAACAGATGGATTTTTTTTTATGATCAGTAATTTTTTTTTTTTTTAGTCAGATCTCTCTAAAACGTCAAAAAATAAATAAAATATGAGGAAAAACTACATAACTCATCATTTACTTTGATATTTAAAAAATCTATCTGTTAAATGGAATAAAATAGTGTTTAGAGTAAGTGTACAAAATTTCAGGTCATATAATGATGGCTAGCCTTAGATATTATGTTTTGAAATTTAGTCCAAAAACGCATTTTTTAATAGTTTTTCCGCCATTATGGTCCTAATGCTAATTAAAAAAAAAATTTTTTTTGCTTTTTTTTATTTAAATCATTTGAGTAAACTGTATTTAAAAGCATTTTTATTTTGGAGGTTTATTTCATTTTTTTATTTATTTGGTGTTGTACCACCTTAAGAAAAATATGGAAATTAAAAATCATTTGTTTGGAATTATAATAAGTTATTATGTCTTAATAAAAATCAAAAAAAAAAAAAAATTTCCCACATGTTTGGGGATTTTGGGGTATGTTAATTTAAAGCAACATTATGCAATAGAGGAAAAACAAAAAATTTTAACTTAATTTTTTTCTTTTTAATTACTTATGAAAATCTTTAAAAAAATTAGATTTAGGTGTAAAACACAAATGTACTTTACATTTATCACAATAAACCTTAGGAATGCCATCGCACCCAGGGTTTTTACATCTGCCTTTTTTTTCGCTAAAGACAGGGCAGTGATCAATTTTATCAGTTCTAGTTGAAAATTCAGGAACTAATGCAACAGGACTTTTTTTTTTCTTTTTGCAATAAGAAGATTTTCAACTATTTTGGATGAACGACCTTTTTTTATTTTTCACCATAACTTTTCCGGCTTTCATCAAACTGTTGGCTACTTTTAATTTGAATACTCTTAATTGAAAGATATCTTTCTTTAAAGCATTAGATTTTTTCATATCCCGACAATAAATAATCCAAGCTTGGACAATTATCATATCTAAAAAATGCCAAATAAGTTTATAGTACCATTTCTTTGATCGTATTTGAATTCTATATAAGCTTAATAGACAATCTAATAAGTCAGCTCCTCCCATAAAGCTGTTGTATGTTGAGACGATAGAAGATCGTGTTACATTTATATTCGATTTTGTCTTGCAATCTCATCGCTGAACAGTAGATACTGGGTTTACTGCCTCATAGGATGAAAGTAATGTTACCCCCCTATTATCGAACCACTTTACGACACGCAGTTCAACGTTGTCAACATTTGTGGTCAAAAAGGTAGCTGATCCTCTCCCTTGATTTTTCATAACTTTATCTGTTGGTAATTCTATATTTTTTAATCGATTAGAACGTACAGTTCCAACTCATGCAATTCCCTGTGTAAACAGTGTTTTGACTAATTCTAAACTAGTATACCAGTTATCGAAGTTGTTATAATAAATATACATTTGTTTTTTCTTACTGTCTTTCTGAATATCTTTACTCAATATATATACATTTGCAAATACCCCCGAGAGTATAATAAACAGTATAAACGTTATGTATAATATAATAAATAATGCGACGCGCCCACAACATTCCTTCTGACGCAACACATTAATAGTTTATATATAATACAATTATTTACACTAATTACAACACCCCTTGATCTCTAGATCACAAAGTCCGCATACTTATTCGGATACTTCCGCACACGCGTCGATCTTC